TCTTTGAGAAGGGACTAGAGTGCTCTTGTCCTTGTCTGTTGAGAAGCAGCTGTCACTGGCTTGGGAGATCCCTCAGCTGGCAGCTTTTGGTATTGCTGGCTATAATATTTTCCATCCAGTGAACCTAATACTGTATTTTGTCTTCAGGGTAAATGCTTTAATCACACATGGTCCACCAATGCAGCTTCGTCTGAATGAAAGCTATACTGTCTAGCTCTAACCAGGCCCTGTAAGGCAGGACTGTATCTGTTTTACTAGAATATATACTAAGGTTATCTTGAAAATTTCTCTTGTTCAGACACTTGTATGGCTATGTGCATTGACTCAAAGTATTCTCTTCACTATGTGAAAGAGCCAGCTCTTAAGTTACGGTTTCATTATGTGAATTTAAGTGGCCTCAGTTAAGGCAGGACAAGCTGTGGTTTCCAGGTAAGCTGAACAGACTGAAAGTGATGAGGAAAGACAGGTTAAGTTTCAGTTTTCCCTCACCAGTTAAAAGACTGGAATGTTGTAATGCTAAGTATTGGTTAATATAAAATTTATAATCAAGACTACTAACAGGAAGGGACAGAAAGCCTACTGAAATTAAGACTGCAGTGGCTGGCTTAGAAATAATATGAAGTCTCAAAAATCCATCTTTATCTTTTCAGGGAAAGATGAGGCAGACTTCAAATTTGAGAGTTATTTTTATGTTCTCTGGGAGCTAAAAATACATATTAACACATCTGCTTTTAAGTTTTCCCTTATTGATCCACAGATCTAGTTCACAAATAAAGGAGTCTCAGTATCCCTTAATTTTAAGCCATTTTTGGTTTGCTTTTGTTAGCTTTTTTCCCAGCAAGGCTTACCTTCTTCTGTTTGGATGCAGTATACCTGCTTGAACTCCTACTTTCAGTATTATTGCCTGGAATATTGTTTGCTTGGTCAGACAATGGCATGCACTTTAAAGCTATATGTATTTGGCCTTGTTACAACCTCATGTCTCAGCAGCCTTTAAGCATCTTAACAGATCCTCTTCATGCTGCCTACAGTTTAACAATAGATTATTCTTTCTGGAAACGTAGGGGACTATGGCTCAGATCAGAATTCAAGAATTTACTCAACATTTTCCCAGGGCCCTCCCTTATTCTTATAAAGAATTTTAATCTTAATACTAGTCCATTGTCCAAAACATCACAGAATACTTCCTCACTATTATTCCCATTCCAAATACACTTGTAGAAAAGCAGCTTTTTAAGAATAGCATGTTTTCACTCTTTGCATATTTGCTACTGCAGGTTTCTCATCAAGGAAAAGAGCACCAGCAAACCACTCAGGCTTTTTGGTGCCATATTCATGCTTTATTAAAAAAAACCCACAACAAAAAACCCCAAACAAAACCCCCAAAAAACAAACTACACAATGCTAAGAAAAAAAAAATCAAGTTTACTTTACAAAAAACCTGCAGCCATTTTCAAGAGATCTGATCTCACTTAGAAAGTCAGCAGGTAAGAAAGTAAATGTTAATTTAACATTTTGGTTGCAGTACATCATCTGAACTTAATCATCCAAAACAATCAGTCATTCTTAAACTGACTGTTGATTGTGTAGATACAATCACCTATTATTACTTGATTTAAAAAAATCCCTGGGAAAATTTAGAGATAAATGGAAAAATGTCAGAAGAATGTTATTTAGCCCACCTATAAACTCTTGCAGAAACATAAAGATCTTTCTGACTTTGCTCTCCTCTAAGTTAATTACAATTCCTCTGTGTATTTGAGAGAAGTCTTAGTGTAAAGCTGCTATAGTCGGTGAGGGGATTAAACTTGTATACCATCAATCTATGTAGTTGTCCTCAAGTTACACAAGTGCTATGTCTCATTGTCTCCATGGAAGTGTATTGTGCAAGTCTCAAGTAATTTCAAAACACTCCTGAAACAGCCCTTGTGTCACTCCTATGAGGTAGGTACTGTCCTTCCTTTGGACAAGAAAAGAGAACAGACTCTTAACTGCTGCTCAGTACATCAGGCACACTGAAAAACAAGACAACCAGCCTACATTGGTATTTGACTTTCCTGCTGCTTCCCTAAATTCAGAGCTTTCAACCACAACATTTTGTTTAGCACAATGCATTCCAGGAATAAACAGCAAATTATGCTTTTGATTAGATCCATTCTAAGGTAAGAAAGATGTTCAGCATAACTTGTTTTGAAACAAGCAGAAGCACTGCCATCACTAGTCTGCTCCATTCATCTCCATGGCCTACAATTTAATTATTTTGTACATGAAGAATAAAGATGATGCTTCATCCTTTAGTCTGACAGCAGCCACTCTTCGTTCTCAGATTAAATACTAGGGAAAAAAGTGAACTGCTGTCACAATGCAGACAGCATACAGAGGGATACAACTATCAAATGCAGTTCAAGTATAGCTAAATTAATGCTTTGCTACCACTGTAAACATGAATTCCAAAGTTTTTCTTACCCCAAGTATAGCCTCATTAAGACGTCACAATTTTTAAAAATTACTTAAAGAGCTGTGAGAAAGGAATGAATAGTAGTCCTCACACTACAGCCATAGTTTATTTGCAGTCTAAAACCATTTTAGCATCTCTTACTAACAAGGAAGAAACCCTAGTCCACATCTTTCACAGCCCTTGCTTCTCTTCTCATAACCTTACATGAGCAGTTGTATGGTAGCATAGAAAGCTTGCTGAAAACTAGGCTAGTAAGAATGCTAAATGATACAAATGCTTGTGATACCACATGGAAAGGGGTGGCATAGAGACCAGCAGAATGGCTACTTGTTCCATCTTCAAGTCAAGGAAGTTATACTCTACTCAAATGATAACAATAATGATATCCAGTTAATGTACCTGTGACACTAATCTATCTGTATGTGTTTAAAAATTGAGTGGAAAATTCAAGTACCAAAATAAAAGTTAACCAAGAGGATAAAGCAAAAACTATGTTCTCCCATTTGAAGAAATCTGTAGTCAAGTGGCTTATTCACTAGAAATAATGTAAGAGATGCCAAAGTTCAATTACTACTACACACTAGAATGTCATTGCCAACTTTCAACTACAGCAAACTAACAACAAACATGAAATTCAGAACTGTTACTTCATTTATCATGAGCAGGAGTAGACTGCTGGCCATTCTTATGAACTGCTTCTGGCTGAGAAAGTTACTATGAACCAGCCACAGTGAATGCCAAGTTGTAGGATCAGAAAGACAGTCTTGGTACAACCAGACTTTCCCATTGCCAGTTCCCATGCAAGTTGCTAAACTGTCTCCTCTTTTTTCATGCTTAGAACTTAAGAATTTGGATGTTAACCACTGAGTGCAGAGGAGAAAGCAGAAACCTTCAAATACTTATTCCTTATCTGTACAGTGCTTCAGTCCTTCACTTCTCTTAAGTCCTAGCCTGTGTAAGATTTCTAAAGGCCCAACTTGCTCTAGAACTCAAACCAGTAAGGACTAAACTATTTATCTGAACAAATAAAACTAGGATATTACAAATTATTATCTTCTGTTCTAATCCTTTGTCTTTTTTCCCTGGAGTACCACTGTATCCAGAGCAGTTCTCATCATCACCCCCTCAAAAGAGTACCTTTCTACCTTGGAAAGAATTAGAGTATACAGTTTAAGATTACCTATTACCAGAAGGTAAAAAAATAAAAAAATCTCTTGACTTCAGGTTAGAGACATAATCCAAGAGAGGGAACTTAAAAGTTCAGTACATCAGGTGCTGTGCAATAGCTACAGGGCTTTAGTATACAAAGCATTTAATACATAAACACTTTGTTGAATCAATGCAAGCTTGAATGTAAGCCCATGAACCTACCACAGAACCAGTCAGATTACATCACTGAAGGCAAACAATCCTGTTCCACACAATTTGAGTGGAGATACCTCTTACAAACATAGCATTCAATGGTTTGCTAAGTGATCTGTATGATGATTCAGCAATCTTAACTATTAAAATTATTCTGCCTGGGAAATATAGAATATATAATATAGAAAAATATTTCATATTATCAGGAAGTTGAACAAAGCATCTTTGGGGTTGCTTTTCCTATTCTTATCTTTTCCATAGCAAGATGAGTCACAAACATCTTCACAGTTCATTCTGGCAAAGTGTACAGTAGAATAGTGCCAGTACAGGTAGTTTCAGAGCTTAGATGCTTCAAACATGCTATGACATCATTTGCAAGTATTGCTCAGCATTCATTGGATCAGAAGCTCAGTCCCTGCAGAGCAAGTTTAGATCTAAAACAACACTTTGACATGTGGGGATCAGGAGGGGAGGAAACAAAAACAGAGGTCTCAAATCAATGCCTCTTCCTGAACTCAAGCTTCCAGATAACCTTCAGATACAGGAGGAGATGCAGTTGAGATGCAAACAATTCAAGCCTTGTCCAAGTGCCTGAATGGCAGCAAACTGACACTCTGCATTATCTGATCTTTTTACTGTCAGTGAAATCCCTGAATGCAATGGATGTGGATCAATACCTCAAGTACCTGGTAATCATGTAAGCTGTGCCTGCCACAAAAGAAAAATCACATTTTGATTGTATATAGCTTTTCTGCTGTAGTACTGAACATGCAGTGAATAATGGATATGCATCTGTGTTACTAGTAGGAAAGACAAAGTAATTTAAAAAAAAAAAAGAAACTCAGACCAATGTACTGAACAGTGGAAAGAAGTTTGAGATTTAAAAACTGCAAAGGGTGGATTAAATAGTTTGCCATTTAGAAAGATTATTTGAAGCCAACAGTTTTTCAAATTCAGTTTCAACTGTGTACAGTAAATGTAAAGTCCTTGCCCCATGTAACACTTTAAGAAAAGTCCACATTGATACATATGGCATTCTAGTTTTTGTGAGAGAACCAAGAACTTACTGAAAAGTTGTTCTGGGTTATTCAATAATTTCTTGATTAAACATTGCAGAGCTACCACTATAATCAGAATACCTAAGCTGCTGGCACAACTCAATAACTAACCATTTAACAAGTTGGGTATAAAAAAAATTTATGTAGTAATACCAATTCAGCACACAAATTCCATGCTTCACAAGTTCTGCTGCTGTGTAAGAGTCTTCCTAACATCTATGCAGATAAATTCAGATTTTTAGGTCACTGCATGCCCAGCCAGATCAAAACAGCAGTAAAATATCTACCACTACAAGCAGCTATACCCAATTGTGCCTTTAGAATGCAAACTATGCAGAAATCTAGATGATCAGTGCCTTGCCACTGAAATAGGACCACGCACACAAACTTCAGTGTGTGCACACTGTAGAGAATGAAGTTACTTACTGAAAAAGAAAAATGCATACAGATTCCAATACAGACATGACACAATCAAGACAGATTAAGTCACTGGACATTCAGATTATGGGGAGGAGAAAAATCCTTCAAAGACAGTGTACAGATGACAAGCCAGCATTACAAAGAACTCTAAAGGCACATTTCAGGTAAGATGGTTCTGTTAAGACCAACTGCTTACACACACAGGCACAAATCTTAATGGCTACCTCCCCCCCACCCCCCAACAATTAACAAAAAAAAAAAGAGAAGTGCATTTTCAGTAATATTAACACCATTCAGTTAATCTGTTCAGTCCAAATGTTTAGCAGTATTTTCCTTATGGTGATATGGATTCTCTGCACTACTCCAATCCAAAAAACCAAACCAGGCAGGATTAGTAAAGGTTCAACTGTTGTACTAGTTAACATTTACTCATCAGAGCCCACTGATCTCTTCTGTGCCCTCTTGTAGGGCAACCTCCTTGGTGAAGCTTTATCTAGATAAAAAAAGAAAAGTTGCATCAATTGCTACAGCTACTTCAGATTAGATGTTATGTGACCATGTATTTTTCTCCCTCCCAAACACAAGCCAAACTGCCCTTCTAGTGCAATGCATCACCACAGAGAAACCAGTTCAAACAACTTATGACTTTAATTATTAGCATCCTAAATAGAAGGTAACAAAAAAAGAATGTTCCTATTCTGTAATATGCAACTCCAGGGTGAGGGTTGTTCAATTTGCCAGTTACTAAAATGCAAAAAAACACTCCAAAAAACCAAACCCCACACAATCTCCTGATAAAACTGCATGCTCTGCCATTTAGAAAAGTTTCATGTTCATTAATTATACTTTTAGAAAGTTAATGAATTTTGATCATTACTAGTTCGAGTTTACCTGTCTGAAGAGTATGTGATTGACCCTTCTTTAGACAGCTTTGTCTTGCATGACATATTTCCACATTCATACAGATTAACAGCAGAAGACAAGTGTTTTGGTTGTGAAATAATACACTTTTCCAGGAAGCATCCACATTTGACTATGAAGATGTCACTTTGTAATCAGATATCCCATATGGGGAAGCCACCCAGCTTTAGCTGTATGATCACTGCATGCCAGAAGCATCATCCTACATTTAAGACTTCATGACAGGCCTATAATTGTCCTTTACAAGGATGGTCCTTACATAGGTAGAATTTCAATCCTTGCAATATTGTAGAGAAGCTACAATACTTTGTACGAAGTGCTAAAGTGGTTGCTAAGTGTATCTGTTGACTTAAAAATGCCCATTTTCTTAAACAGAACCACCTCCAGTAATTTCACTGTTTGGAGTATGTACAAACACAAGGAGCAGCCATCACACCTTCACAAGCCAATCAGTACAGTATGAAGTGTCCTTCAACAACAAAATAGTCAAGAACCTCTGAGGAACTTGAAGGCCACATATTTCAAAGGATTCTAGTGTGGATTTCTAGTTAAAACTAACCTGGAGCTGAAGAAAACCACAATTAAGAACATAAACATCAGTTTTTCCTAGACTTCAGGTATTAAGATATGAATCCTTATCTATCTTAAAGGGATGGGGGACAGGACCCAAACATTGCCAGCATCAACCCATTTAAAGACAGTTTGCTCTTCAGAAAAAAATAGCATTTAGAACTTCAGTCCTTCTTGCTAGATTGAGGCTTTTCAAATTCCTGTGTCTAGATTTTATACTATCATTCTTGTGTCTCACAGAAGACAGTGTACAAGCAAGCTAACATTTTCAGAAGTAAAAGAACGGTCCTTATACCTATGTAATATAGGTACAATTAAAAAGGGTGAAGGAATCAAAAAAGTAAAGTCCAGCTCCTAGCACAACTTTGTATCAGAGCTAAAGCCTCTAGTCCTTCTATACTGAATAAAGCTCAGAATATGCTTATTTCATCAAAACAGGAGTCTTTTTCAAGTAAAGGTAGTTCCTGCAAAGGGTTTTCAAAGCACTTGTCCAGAATGCACTTTAGGTGAGGCTCTCACTTCACACCAGCCAATGCTACTGGTGATAGGAGTTCACCTGGGATAAGGAAGACCCAGGAAGATAAACCTGACTATTAAACTGTTATACCCAAGGCTGAGGTTTGTTTCTCACTGAAACAAGACGCGCTCAGCCATTGGTCATAATCAGTCCTCCACCTCCCTCATGTAACATCAGATTGACACTACAGCAAGATAGCAGGGAAGGCAAGATACACATCTGCCTTTTAGATAAAGGGTTCTGGGAACTGGTAGAGGAGACAACAGTAGTTCAGCAATATTCTGCTGAAACTACATTACTATAATACAACCAGAAATAATACATATACATATTTATAATATATGAAAACAAATTTATATGTATATAAAATGTGTTTGTGTGATTGCGTGCTCATGCTGCATCACCAATCACTGCATGCAGGAAGCTGTACTTCTATCCATGCCTAATTATCACATGGACAACACATTAAGCACTTTCACTCTTTAGATTACCAGAATTTGCCTCACCTCTTCTACTCTGCACTGAAGCCATGGGAAAGCAAAACAGAAGAAACAGCAAGAGAAGTTAGAAATATCTATAAACACACAAATGGTCTAAAGAAATCAGATATTTGGTTTACTGCTGGCATTTCAGATATCAAGTAGAACTTAGGCATTTGGGCTTGTGAAGGACATTGATATCAAGACTGTTGTGGTTTAACCCCAGCCAGCAACTAAGCACCACACAGCCGCTCACTCCCTCCCCACCCAGTGGGATGGGGGAGAGAATCAGGGAAAAAAAAAGTAAAACTTGTGGGTTGAGAAAACAACAATTTAATAGAACAGAAAAGAAGAAACTAATAATGATAGTAACACTAATAAAATGACAATAGTAATAGTAAAAAGATTGGAATATGCAAGTGATGCACAATGCAATTGCTTACCACTCACTGACTGATACCCAGTTAGTCCCCGAGCAGCGATGCCCACCCAGGCCAACTCCCCCCAGTTTATATACTGGGCATGACATCACATGGTATGGAATACCCCTTTGGCCAGTTTGGGTCAGCTGCCCTGGCTGTGTCCCCTTCTAATGCCTTGTGCCCCTCCAGCCTTCTTGCTGGCTGGGCATGACAGGCTGAAAAATCCTTGACTTCAGAGTAAATATTACTTAGCAGCAACTGAAAACATCAGTGTTATCAACATTCTTCTCATACCAAACTCAAAAACATAGCACTGTACCAGCTACTAGGAAGACAATTAACTCTATCCCAGCTGAAACCAGTATGAAGTCTTAATGTGACTTTGGTTAATACACACTTATAATGCTTATTTAAAAGCTTTGGTCTATAGGCAAAGTTCCAAACAACTTACAGAAACTTTGAGATGATAGGTATTTTCTCCTATTTAAACCTCCTTTGTGATCCAGGTTTTGGGTAGAGATTTTATACTGTTGAAAAAGAGTCTACAGAACAGATTGTAAAGGTCACCAATAGTCATTATTGTATCAACCAGTGAAGTTTATTCTGTACAAGAATAGACTGCTAATGTAATAGTCTAATCATTAAGCACAGTGCTTCAGCCAATTTTTTATTCCCTAGAAGAGATGTATGTTGTTCTGAGAAACTGGATCAGCTCCTTATTCAGTTACAACTAACTGATTAAGTTTGTTATGTTCTTGTTTGTGGAAGGCAGACTACTTACTTATTTGATTTAAAGTTTCTTGGGGAATCCAGCTCATATCAACATCATTCTGATTTGATGTTCCCATCTCTACTTTCTGTACTGGTCTTTTCCTCTGAAAATTCAAGAAAAAAAATTTTCTTTCCACAAAGTTTTGATAGCACAAGTATTAACTAGTAACATTATATTTAATGAATTGCAATAATTTCACTAAGACACAAACTTAAGGCTAGTCAATGTACTAAGCTGTCTTTGTAGCTTAGCTTTAATTATCTTTACCACTAGCAATTTATTCACTGAAGCTTGGTGTTAACACTCCTAATGCCTCACAATACTTATTCCACACAAAGATACCAGGATTTCATGCATGCCTGGGCAAGTTGATTATACATGTTACAAAATACAGCTGATTAATAATCAAACTTTGTGATGACCCATTTTGTTATACTTTCTCAGATTAGTGCAATATTCTCGTATATCACCTTGCAAAACAGATTTCAAAGGACAATAATCATTCCATGCTTCTTCCCAAAGGAAGCTACTTCAAAAATATCATAAGCCAGACTGCATGAAGACATAACCTATGCACTGCATACAGATGAGACTTAAGCTTTCAACAGCTTTTGCTTGCCAGACCATTTACATGGACAAACTCTTAGCTGTTATAGCTTTATAAATGGAATCCAGAGGCCCTAATCAACATTATGGCAAAGCATTGATAAGAATAAAGGACTAGACAGCTGTTTTCCCCAAAGTTTGAAATAGATTAAACTAAACTAATAGATATAAATAGAGAGCATGGGGAAAGTCTACCCAGTAAGTATTGAATCAGTAGCTGCACACATCCACTGGAAGGTATCAAAGATTCCAATTCAACCACTTCAGTGTGGTGCCAAAGAGCAGACCCAAAGTGCATTAGGTAAATAATCTAAATGTCTCCAATAATGAACATTTTTTAAAAACCATTTTTTCCAGTAATCTTTAAGGTCTTAGTTCTAAAAGTAAGTCTTCTAAAGTTCTACCTGTACCATCATATGCAAGAAGCAATTACTGAATTGTTTTCTTTTCATACCAGTAAGGTCTTGTATTAAGAAGCACATAGACAAAATACACTACCCACCTTCCTAGATTCTAGTAACTGATGTAGGCCAACAATGACAAGTAGACCAAGTCCAGCGAGGAACATGTACATGAAGATCCTTTAAAAACAGTTTAAGAAACGATTAACTAAAAATCTTAAGTGTTTAATAGAGTTTACAAAGAGGCATAGAAACTAAGACTAGCTTTGGCCATGTGCCCACTCGATCTTTCCTAAGAACTTTTGTAGGGGGTGGGTGGGGAAAAAAAAAACTATGGATCTGAAACTGAAGTGCTAACAAATATTAAGTAATTATTCTGACTTTGATTTCAGAAACTGTAATCCTAAATTTAATTCTGAACAACAGAACATTTTAAAAGTGCTATATGAACTGAGAAACTGTTATAAATAATTATTGAAATTGAGTAACTGCAAGAACTCTTCCGCAGTATCACGTTTCAAGACATTGGGTCACAGGTAATATTTATATTTGTGACTGCTATAACCACTTACAAAACCCTTAAAAATCTCTTCTATGCTTTTAGTACGCGACTGCAAAGCAAGTACTGCTAGGATACTAATTTATTGGCAACAAAGCTTTGAAAGGCCTTGCTTAACTTGTTCTGTGTTCCACAGTTAGAATTCTACTTATGCAAAGAATCATTTTTTAAATCTGTACATTTTCATTTGTTTTGAAGAATTCCACCTGAAATGCCTGTTGATACTTAACAAGAGGTGAACATAAGTTATATCTAAAATTAATCTGGGGAGCAGGCAGGAGTTTACAGGTAAAGAATCTATTCCAAGTTGAACATGTTAACTCAGTTTTATGACAAAGAAAATTATGGAATTAGACTACAGAAGAGACTTAATTGAACATCCCTGTTCAATTTAGGGTAATTATCTATTCACAGGACATTAACTCAAATTGGTTCTAATAATTTGAATTCTTGAGAGCTCCTTTATCAGAGTATCACACATTTTCAAGTAACCAATTGTTCTGTCATTGATGCTATTCTCTATTTGAGAAATATGAATTAATGCAACAGCTATTTCTTTTGGTTGTCCTTTTTTAAAAAGAAGCTTGCTCAGCCGGGAATTTCTACCTGTGGCACGAGAATTCAAATATTCAGCATTATCTACAAGTATTTCTGAAGTTTTTTTTAACTCACAGGTTCTCTGAAAATTCCACTCCAGTGTTAGAATATTTAAAAGCATATCAGCACAGCATATACTTGCAACATACAAGGCATGTCAGACATTCTTAGTCTTTAAGACAGAAAAAAACCCCCACACTCCCAAAAGATACCTGCTACAGAAAGGGGTTAGTGCCACAAAGAATGAGTGTTAGTTCCTCTATCTCATACTCCAAATACATCTTTCAGTTTATGTAATCTTGGATTATACAGGAGTGCTCCAGAAGCAAGTTATTCAGTCTCCACAGTAGGACCCACAGTCCAATACTATGGACCCTCTGCATCTTTAAATCTCAGGAAAAAGCACAGTAGCATAACAAAAGCTTAACAGCTTTGAATTGCTGTGTAGCTGTATAACATAAGGTCCTATTCCAGGCTTAAGCCCTCTGAGCCAAAACAGATGTATAAAATGCTCACTGACTTAGTACCAATCCTGAAGATCCCTAGCATTAATACAGATCTTAATTTGGGGAAAAAGATCATATTTTCAGTCTATCAACATTTTAAAAGTCAAATGCCTGCGATTCCAACAGCAAAACACAGCAGACCTAACATTCAATAAAATGAAGATATAAAAACTATTCTCGCTGGCACCATCAATAACCTGTTCTACCAGTGTACCAACTAAACCTGAATCTCCAGCCTCCTTACGTTTCTCCATCCAGCCCATCTTCTTTTTCAATAATTGTAACAGTTTGATTGAAGACAGCATCTTGAAACACATTGCCCTACAACAAAGTTTCCACATAACATTTTAAACTCATTTCTTGAACACATACACAAGTGTTTATCTTTTTCCACGTTCTTGGAAAAATTCTAGAAAGGAATAACTCCTGCACAAGACCTGATGAAGTTTATAAGCAGTGCAAATTTGACTAAACACAAAAGCGCAAACTTTTTAGTGCAAGTACAAAGAACAGTCACATCTAGCCTTCAATATGTTATTTCCTGTAATGAGATATTACATATGAAGGGTTCTCATTAGAACAATCAAAACATAAAGGTGCAGAAGCCTGTTAAACTTTGACCTGCACTAAAAGAGAAAAGAATCCCCTGTTTTAATCCCCATTTATGCTTTTGGATAGTCTTCCCCCAGATTGCAACTACTAGCCATTTATTTGCTCAAAGTCAAGTTTGCAGATGGGATTCAGGTTGATAGTTAGGTTTGTTAGCAAAGCCCAATCTGAAAAGCACAATGAGATTTAAGTTATCCTAAAGAAAGCTTTAGGTTTTGTGGTTTTGGTTTTTTTTTTTTTTAAATGACTACAGTTCTAAGGCATTCTAGCTTACACTGTAAGTCTAACATATACAGAACTAAGTGTACATGGAGGGGTATTGTGAAACATGTAGACAGTCTCTTACTGTGCTTATGTATCTACTGATTTGCTTAAAAACCACAAAGGCATTCACTTTCTGAAGAGGCAGTAAATTGACTAAGCAGTTCCTTCCTGACATTTCCACATCAACTAGAAAGATTAAAGTGAATTACAACATCGAGCTTACATTTACATCTCTGTAGTTGAGATTGATAACTAGTCCAAAAGGACGACCACCCATAGGCTCAGCAGGGATGAAAGAGTACTCAAATGTGGCTTGTCTCTGTGGTGGAACTACTGTATTCAGAGGGAGAGCTGTGAAGTTCTGGATATAAAACTGGTAGTCTTGAGGATACCGGAAAGAAGCATCGAGAGACTCGACAATGAAATCCTCTGTACCCTTATTGGTGAAGCCCACCAGGAATTTTACGATGTTGTTTGCTGGGAAGTCTAAAACACAAAAAAATATTCAACCATTAGAAACTTCATACACCACATCTAGCCCATTTCTAAACAGAGAGTGTCTACAACAGGTTCTGGTTTTTTAGAGCATCACGAAGATGGTAGATTAGCACAGGACTCTTACCTTCACCTTTCACAAATAAAATGGTTGTATCGGCACTAGGTGAGGCTTTAGGTTCTCCTGACAAGTCTTCTTCCTCTTTTTCTTCTGTCTAAGACAAGAGACTTTTTTGAAAAATCCTATAGCGAACAGCAAAGCAAAGACCATGCTCATTTCATGAGAATCCCACGTGTCAAAGCATGCAACAATGGCATGCATTAGGATCAATTCCTGCTGCTGCAGGATTAGCACCTAGTCTGTTCTCCCTCTAGATTTGACTAGAATAGTTTTCAGCATTTATCCTTCTACTCGTATTTGACACAGTGACTAATTTCAATTGCACTTAGCTCTATTGAAAGGTTTCTTATCAGAAAGCAACAGTAAGGTCTCTGTTTAGTGGTGAAAGGAAAATAACAGAATCTAAATGTTAAGTGTTCACATCTAAGCTATTTCTATTTAGAAAACAAGCATTTCCAAAATTACAGACAACCATAAGGCAAATGAGAGTTACTTTCGCTACAGAGGGAGTGTTTATAGAAGCTTTCTATTCAGTGTTCATTAGTTAAGTGTTACATATGCCTGGAAATCGTTAGACTATTGGAACTAAACAGGTTGGTGGATTCACTTGTTCAAGCTCACCTTTCTGATGATTCACTTTTTAATTTGGCAAAGGCATTAAGGGCTTATTTTCCACATGGGGATCACTGGATCACCGCCTCCCCCACCAAATAGAAACAAGGCTGATCCCATTTTGAACTGTCTGAACTAATTGCTTGCAAGTTAGTTAGATCATTTGATTTCACTGCTTAAACAACCACTTGAAGTAGCAGGAGCCTATTGGATTGGTTGCACATGCACCATGAGCTAGGGAAGCCATGAACCAGAGCTGAGCACCTAGTGCAAAACTGTATCTTCTATTTCAGTGATAAATAAAAGAAACTGCTTAAAAACTGTAATGTTTTGTACCTGAGTCATAGACTATTCATTAAAAGCAAATTACATCCAAAAGGTTATTTAATAATATTCTGTCAATACTGAATACCTAGCATACCTTCTACCACTTAGCAAAGCTGGCCAACCATAAGCTCACAAACATACCAACATCAATAAAAATCTAATAGAACCGAAGAACAGTTTACCAGGTCTCCATTTTTATTATGCATGTCTTCTCCTCCTAATGTCCCAAACTTTCTTATTTTACACTAGAAATTTCGAACTTTTTGTACCAATTTAAGTACACTAAGCATCTAGCAAGCCTAATACTTTACTGCTACAAGCAGATCACATAACTAAAGTATTTCACTTTGTCAAGATGAAGCAAGTGACCCCCAAACAGCAATACAGCCACTAGTAAGCAAAAACAGGCTGCAGAACAAGGTTTTCAGAATTAATACTGAACTTAACTAAGATTCTGTTGCCCCTTGAAAACAGGTACCAAAGCAACCAGAATGAAGTAGTCCTGTACCCCAGTATCCTCCTCAGTTTACCGAGGCACAGCTTAAGCTGGAAAAAAAGCTACGAGGGGCTCCTATGAGAATCTGGTTCTCTCATTTGGTGTACAATTACCAAGTCTGTTGGCTCATCTTCTTCAACTTCAGCTTCGTCATCTTCATCTTCAACTACAGTATCTTCCACAGCTTCCTCATCTTCTGTAGCATCTTGAGCTGCAACTAATAAACCTGAACCTACCAAAAGAAAACGCAAATACAAGAAAGCCTTTTCAATGTCTAGTTAATCAACAGAAAACTGACATTGTAGTACAATTTTCAAACTAATGTTTGAAGAATTTTAACTTTCTGAACTACCCATTTATGTGCCAGTAAGTTCAAAACCAAGAAGTCTACAGCTGGGTAACAAACTTCCACACAGCAATGCTTAAATTCACAGAGAGCAAACAACTTGCCTTAAAAGCTATTGTTTAATTTTTTTTTTAACATGTCATCATGTTAAAATATTTTAATTTTGTTTTGTCATTACAAATGTGAAAATAAAAAGACATTGCTATTGCTGGGAAATAAATTTAGCGAGTACTGTTTCTTCCAAGACTAGCGAGTTTAACAAAAGATTAGCATGTCCTTTACATCTGCTGGTATCAGAACACTACATTTTCACACGTAGTTAAACAGTTACTATTTTTGCACTTATTTTCATTCAAGTTTTAAAATATAAAAAAGGTCTTTTTAAATATGACCTCCTCAGTATCATATACTACTACACCCATATGTTCAAAGAACCACAACACTATTCAGAAAAGAAACCTGATCTAGAGCATGGCTCCAGAGCAAGGCTCCAAGACAAGAACAGTCAGATAGTTCATCGCCTCTTTGCTTTTATGGAGCCGAGTCTCATACATTCAAACACTGGGCAGATATGATTAATACAAATAGTAGCCACAGGACAAAGTTCTGTCTGTTTGCAGTTTAGAGCACATGCAGGCTAAGCTAAGAATTTTTAAAACATGTACACAAAACTACAGATTTTTTTTTTTAAAAAACCTAACGTCTTCCAAAAATGAAAGAGTAGAAATGAAGGAATGATTGATTTACATAAGCCTGAAAAAGATCTAACTGCCATCAGTACACATTTAAAATAAATATTTAAAACCTTTCACAGGGAATAAGAATCCTTGACCAGGACAAGTATATCCAAGGACCTCAGGATTGTCAGTCATAGCTAGAAAAAGCAAATGCAACCTTCCCCCCAGTGCCTTTAGAGGATACACTCATAGCCTTTTGCTCAGCCACGTGCAATACTTAACATAAGACTAACAACAGTGATTTCGTTTGCTGAAGTTTTAAACTTTAAGTCTACAAATAAAGATTTTTTTTTTTAAAGGAAAACTTTTGTATCTGAACAGCCTACGGGTAGGCTACAGGCATTCTCCAGAAGCAACTGCGCTAGCACGTTCTCCTAGACCTCTAAATTCAGAGTTTTTCCCAGGGATGTCAGAAGGGCTGCTGCTGATGTGGCAAGAGCGGGAACGGCGAGCCGCCGGCTGGGGGAAGCCGCTGCCACCCAGCCCGTGCGCTGGGCGAGACGGCTGCCCTTCTTCCCTCTTCCCAGGCTTCGCAGCAGGGAGGGCAGTCTTCAGACGGTGAATCGGATAACGCCGCGGTGTAAACAGAGATCAGCGATCTGAAGGACGCTGGGGGTGGGGGGTCGGAGGGCGGGCGGGCAGCCAGCGCCTCTGCTAACGACTGACGGCAGAAGACAGCACCGCCCCAGAGCGGGAGCGAAGGAAAAAAAAAAAACAGACCCGTTGCCACAGCCTCGAGTGGGTTTTGAGCGGGACAGCCCCCCCCGGGGTGGCTTTCCGCGGCCCGTTTCACCGCTGGGCCCCAGATCGCTCCCCCGGGGCGGCAGCACCGCAAAGCGCGGTTCCCGCCGCCGGTACCCCCCGCTCCCGCCTCCTCGGGTCGGGGGTACAGCCCGGCCTCCACAGAAGCAGAACCAGGCACCGCGGCCCCGTCCCGGTCCGAGGAGGGGAGCCCCGGCCGCGGCCCATGTGCGCAGGGAGGCCCGCGCCCGGCGGCGATGAATGAGCAGCGCCCGCCCCCGCCGCCTCCTCCTTCCCCTCAACGGCAGGACGGCGAAGGCGGCGCTGGGCTCCCCAGGCCCGGCGGCAGACGGTTCTCCCTCTCCCCGGGAGCCCGCCGCCCGCTCCCCCAACGGCCGCTACCGCTCCCCCAGGCGACAACGACCGACCGACCTCACCTGGGCCGCCGCGGGCGCCCCCGAGCAGCAGAGCGGCGGGGAAGGCGAGGAGAGCCAGCAACAGCAGCTGCGACAGGCGCCTCATGATGAGGATGGCGGCAGTAACAACCACCCGGCACGCGCACACACGCCTCACCGGCCGGGCGCCTGGCGCTGCGGGCTGTCTAAATGGCGGCGGCCTCCATCCGGGGCCGCTC